AAATATAAAAAATCAAATTGAATTTTGAATCCTAGAAAATTAATTTAGATGATTATTCCTAGAAAATATGTTTGGATTAGCGATGATAAAAGTAGATTTTATTTTATTTGACTTTTGTAAACGTAAGTTAAAGTAAAAGTTAGTTAGTATAATATAATTTATATTTAAATTAACTTTTATGAAAAAGTTAGTTTGACAAATAGAAACTTATTTATATGAGTAATGAAAAAGTAAGTTTAGATGTAAAATGATTAAAAAACGCATGGATTTTGTTTTAGATATATAATGTATAGATAAATTTAAAAATATTAAAACTAAAAGTATGAAAATAAAGAGTTAATGTATTACAAGAAAATTATAAATACTAAAAAACATTTAATTGCATATATTTAACGTAAATTTTGTTATTATTTTATTTTTTGGCAGATTTTTAGAGCTCAATTAAAAATTAGTAATATATATCAGTTATGTTTGTAGTGTATTGGTAGAGCTAAATTTTATTAGTTAATTTTTTTTTCTTTTTAGGATACTTTTGCAAATACTAAGTTATTGGGTTTTTTATAGTAATTTTATCTTTTTTTAAATAATATAAGGTAGCCCAATTTTTGTCTTTTTATTTATGTTTGTCCTTCTCTCTTAGTACTGGGAAAACAGGCAGACCTGACCCTGCCGGGTGGGCCTGTCATGAGCTTGGGCTTAAACGGACTGGCCCATTTAAGTCCAAGTTCCAAAAATGACTGAATTTTCCAAGTCCGGCTCGTTAGATGACCGGCTTGGGCCAGTCGGTGGCTTTTAGCCCTTTTAACTAAAATGCAATTTTTTTTATTTTTTTTGCATATTTTATTAAAATAATAAAAATAAAACAATAAAATTACTAATAAAATATATAAATATAAATAAAATTGAGTCGCAAATATAAATATCATTATGTCTAAACATATATTACAGTGTAATAAAGTCTATTGAATAAACAAACTAAATAGAAGACAGATATAAACAACTAAATAAGCACTAAGTTCATTAAATAATTACAATGCGAATGATTTGGTTTCATTATAAATAATTAACAAAAAATTTTAACTAACAAACATAATGTACATAAAGAATAATCATTTGTCTTACCAACAAAAAAGAAAAGAGGCTATCATCCTTAGTTCTAAATTTGTTTCTAATTATAAAAATGATATAGATCCTTATTTTAATTCAAAAAAATCTTTGATTAATTCTATTTCAAGTATAAAAAATATGGGAGAATGACAAATAAAGACAGTAAAAATTACACATACAGTATTTTAATAGGTTTGACAACTTATAAATAATAATATATTTTTGTGAATATACCTAGTTTTAAATTTTACAATTTTCACATTTTTTGGTTATTTTTCTAACAACTATGATGATTCTTTTTTTTTTTTTTGTGAATGTTATTTGTGCGAGCGGTTAGGGTAAGTAAAACTAAGAGTATGCTATATCTAAAATGTTAGGGTTTTCTTTTTTAAGTTGAGAAAAAAAAACAGAAATAAACGGGCCGGCTCGTGGCCTTACAAGACCAGTCCGTTTATTTTTCGGCCCTACATGGCTAGCCTTTTTAAGCCCGACTTTCCTTTTAAGGCTCCAAAATACACGCCTAGTCCTCAACTTAAACAGATTTAAACAGGTCGACCTGACAGGTTCGGCTTGTTTTTCAGGCTCTAAATCTCCCTTCACGTTATTAATTGACTTTTCCTTCTAAGGTGGAGCTTTTCAAGGTAATCAGCTTTTCAGTCAAAAGTTGGTTTCCCAAAAAGCCCACCCAAACAGTCTACAAATTCTTAATGAGCTTTAAACCTCCGTTTCATAAATTCTTACGCACGCTTGGACCTTTAAATCGAGATTCAAATAGCCCACAAACACCAAATAAGCTTCAAACCAAAAAAAAAAACTTAAAAAAATATTTCACGTAAGTTGAGACAAAACTCCTACTACATACTTAGAGTGTGTTTGGATTAGCGGCAACAAAATTGACCTTTATTCTACATGACTTTTGCAAATTTAAGTTAGAGTACAAGTCAGTTAATGTAATGTGATTTATAATTGGATTGATATTTATAAAAAATTAGTTGAAAAAGCTGAAACTTATTTGGATAATTAATAGAAAAGTAAGTTTAGATGTAAAATGACTAAAAAAAATATGAATTTTATTGAATAGTAGTATTTTATATTATATGATATTAATGTGATAATTGTTAAATTATAATTAAATTAAAATTATAAAATAAAAATATTTGTTAGTGAGAAAATTTTGAAAATACATTTTAAATAATTAAATATATATAATGGATAAACCTGGATATGAATTAAGTAATTTATTTAGCTTTCTTAAGTTTTTTAAATTGGTCTACTGGTGTCTTATATTAAATAGCAAAAGTAGTATCTCATATGTATGCAATCTGATAAATTAAAAAAAAAAAATTAAATTTTATTAGGTAATTTTTTTAGGGGAAAAAAATCAAATTATAAGGTCAAAATAAGATCCACTTAAATACCCTTATCTTTCTTCTCATTCCTATTGTTTTCTCAATCCATGTTGCAACCAAAAAAAGCTCAAATTTTGAAGTTTGCTTGCAACTGACTTTTTCTTCAAAAGCGTATAGGAGAAAAAACTAATCCAAACAAATATCATTGTAAAAATAAGCCGTCAATACTAGTTACACATTGTCCCAATGCACATTTAGAGTTGTAAACGACATTCCAAACACATGCTTAGGATATATTTAGATTAGTAGTGGCAAAAGTGACTTTTATTTCATTTGACTTTTATAAATATAAGTTAGGACAAAAGTTAATTATGTAGTGTGATTTATGTTTAGATTGATTTTTATAAAAGTCAGTTTGATAAATTGTAACTTTTGAATTTATAATAAAAAATGTAAAATGAGTAAAAACGGGTGTGGGTTTTATAATATACTACCTCTGATTTTTAATATAAGACTTAATTAATTAATTAGAAAAGATTAAGAAAATTAAATAAATTAATTTAAATTATTTATATTTATCATTTTTCTCTAAATTAATTTGCTTGACTCATAAATTGATGTGTAAGCTAATGATACAAATAAGTATTTTAGAGAGATCATGTAACATATAATATAATTAAGTAATTTATTTAGTTTCCTTAATCTCTTTAAATTAATTTGCTGGGATCTTATATTAAGGAGTGAAGGTAACATATCATCTGTATACATTTACAAGAAAAATAATAAATTAAAATAATTAAATTTTGGTTAATATAACTTTGGTCCATGGAATTTGGACATATTTTAGTTTTAATCCTTCAAATTTTAAATCCATGATTTTAGTCTCTGAAATTTAGTTTTTCTTAAAACGTTAGTTCCTGAAAATATAATAGTGTCAAAATCTAATAAATTGTCATAAACAACACTAAAGTAGCGATAGACTTATCACATTACACCTAGTTGGATCTTCTTTGGATAATAGGTAGAAGGAAAAAAATAGGTCTTCAAAACGTAGCTCTTTAGCGTCCTGTTTTTTTTTTTTCCTCATTGTTTATTTTTAGGAGCTATTCATTACATTGCACTATGTTATTCATATAAGATCTTGTTAGGTGCCATCTGGTGAGTCCACATCACAACTTTTAACATTATCGACGACATTTCTGCAGAGTTTAACACTGTTGCACTTTTAGGGACTAACGTTTCAAAAGAGACTAAATTTCCCAAACTATAACCATGGGCTTAAAATTTGATGGAGCAAAACCAAATTATTTCAAATTTCAGGGACCAAAAATTATACTCCTCCGGTCCTTAATATAAGACCCAATTCTTGAGTTGGTTTTGGTCCTAAATATAAGACCTATTTATCATATTTATCAATTTTCTCTAAATTATCTCTATTGATACCCCCTCAACCATAATCAAGTAGGAGAAGAAGAGGGAGTATTAAGAAAGATGATTATGATATTTTAGGAAAAACGTGTCACATTTCTTATAATTAACTAACTTACCTAACTTCTTTAATCTAATCAAATTAGCTAAATGGGTATTATATTAAAGACCGGAGGAGTATTAACCCATTAAATTTTATTAGTTAATCTTTTTCTTCTTAAAAAACATCAAATTATTGGGTTAAGGTAAAATTAACTTAAATACCCTTAACTCTCTTCTCTTTCTTATTATTTTCTTTCTCCACGTTACCAGTTGAAAAGCTCAAATTTTGAGCTTCGCTGGTGACAGGTTTTTCCTTCAAAAGCTTAAGGGGGTGTTTGGGCTTCATGAAAAGTGCTTCTCAGAAGCACTTTTCCACAAAAGCGCAATAAACTTCTCCATATATTTATTTCGTAGATCGTAAAAGCGTTTTTGAAATTATAGTTTGGTTTTCATCCAAACACCCCGTAAGAAGCTAATCCGAACAAGCATAATTGTAAAAATAATTGCTGCAAATGGTTTTAAACATCATGGTTTTGTCCACCCAAAAAAAAAAAAACTCCCTAGGATATACACTCCTTTGGGAAAAAAATTAGGATATATATTATATATTTCTCTGATTGAAGACCTAATTGTTGAGTTGATTTTAGTCCTAAATATAAGACTTATTTTTCATATTTATTAATTTTTTATAAATTATCCTATATATACTCTTTCGACTATGATCAAGTAGAAGAGAGAGGAAAAATATTAAGAAAGATGATTATAGTATTTTAAGAAAAATATTTTATATTTTTTATAATTAACTGAATTACCTTAATAGTCAAATTAGTTAAATAATTTTTATACTAAGGAGTATCTATATATATCTCGGCTCAGTGTTTTTTAATAATTAATATAATTTCACGCCAATTTCACTGGGCTCTTAAAGATTTCCAGCGGCCTCTCTGAATTCCAACATACGCAGTTGTGTCCCTATGCCTCATTGCCACTCTATATATAGTCCATAGGAGGACCCCGAAATCGCAGCGCGCTCCAACAAGCGCTAATTTTTCAATTCTCTGTGGTATCTACACAGCAGTAGGTGCTGCGAGGACTAGTCAGGGAAAACGGAAGACATTTCAAGACTTCGCTGAGACTCATTCTTGCGATCTAAGCCAATCTGCTTCTGGTCCTTCTTCGTTCATCTGAATTGATTGAAATCGGCGAAGCATTGCAATGTCGAATCCAAGATCAAGTCCAGACTCTTGGAATTGCATGCTTCCAGGACCTCCAAGCCGCAACAATTTTGGATCCGCGGACTTGAGCTCCCATGATCTTCTTGCATTCCCTTCAGGCAGTTCCGTTTCCGTCGTCGATACTCGCTCTATGCAGCTCGTCTCCGCCATTCCCATGCCGCCCCCGTCTTCGCCATCTTCATCTTCCACCGCTCCATCTCTTTCCCCATTTGTTACCTCTGTACGCTGGACCCCACTTTCTCTGAATCACGACCTTCTATCCACAGAGCCTTCCTCTTCCCACCTTCTGATTGCCGCCGGTGATCGTCAAGGACGCATTGCTTTGCTCGATTTTAGACTCAAAATCGCTGTTATGTGGTTCGAGACAGATTCAAAACTCGGAATTCAAGACTTGTGTTGGGTTCAAGCTCGACCCGACTTTTACTTCCTTGTTGCTATCAACGGACCGTCTACGATTTCCCTTTATAACACGATGACTGGTCGGTGTGTTTGGAAGTACGACGCATCCCCTGAATTCTTTTCTTGCCTTCGCCGGGACCCTTTGGATTCTCGTCACATCTGCGCACTCGGGCTTAAAGGCTTTCTCTTAAGTATTATGATTCTTGGTGAAAGTGAAAGCAGCTTCGTGATAAAGGAGTTTCAGATACGGACCGATTGTAGCGAACTGAGTAAGCTGGAAAGAGACGCGAGTGATGTGTCAACGTCGCCTGCATCGGCGTTGTTTTCGCTTTATGTGGCGAGGTTCGCGTTTTCCCCGCAATGGAGGCACATATTGTTCATCACATTTCCGAAAGAGTTGATTGTGTTTGATTTGCAGTACGAGACCACTCTTTTTGCTGCTGCATTGCCTCGTGGTTGCGGGAAGTTTGCTGAGGTATTGCTTGATCTAAACAACGAGTGGATTTACTGTGCTCATCTCGATGGCAAGCTCAGCACCTGGCGTAGGAAACCGTAAGCATTTCTTGCCTTGAACTATGAATATTTGGGTGTATCTCTTAATCAGGTGTGAACTATGCATAGCTCTTCAAAGACAGAAAGTATCAGCTGTTGGGGGTTGTCAGAGAGCAATAAAACACTGCTATGACAACTATAAGGGCAGCAGCTACGAATGCAAAAAGCAAAATTTTCTGTCATGCTGAGCTTGATAAATTTTCTGTTAATTTGTTTAGAATTAATTTGGAGGGAGTGCTGATTGGAACTTCAATATGTTATCGTACATAATACAGTGTCTACATGATCTTTTAAAACTGGGTCTGGGGCTGATTTGCATCATTAAGAAGGTTAAAGGTGTGCTAGCGGCATGCATCCTAAATAATGATAAGCGTTGAGGCAACTACTGCCCTTGGGCTTATTTAGATGAATGGAGCTGGAACATTTAAAAAATAGTCATTTACAAGTGGATTACAATGCAAATGATTAAAGAAATGAAAAGAAAAATACATCCTAATTGAAAAACACAGTGGAATGAATGGGCGAGTATTCTTGTAGCAGTTTGCCATTCTAACAGTTCTTGAACTTTTTTCTCCTGATGATTCTGGGCAATGTTAGTAATACTAAATACTAAATATATTTTATTAAGAACTTATTCTGTAGTTATCATGAAAAAAGAAGGTATTCTGTGATTGACATGCTAACATTTTCACACTGGCCAATAAGATGCTTGACTATCTTGGATGTACATATGTAGTAGAATGCCCGCCTCTATGGAATATAGGATGCATTGGAATTCAAAATGTCCATGTTCTTAAGTGTTAAAAGCAATGCTTTCATTCGCCAGAAAAGGAAAAAAAAGAGGACCTTTCAAATGTGTTAGTGAAGGGTGGGGTGGGATGTGGGCAAGCCAATCCTCCTTGATACGTTCGAGGGAGCAAACAACTTTTGGCCTGTTAGTGAAATGTCAAGAAAAGATGTTAGATCTATGTAATGGCTTTCAGTAAATTGTCAGAGGAAAATAGACAAAGTAATGATTGTTGAATGAGGACATGGTCTTGGCCCATTGCAAATGACCGTTGAGCATTAAGTAAATTCCGATTATATCATTAATTGTGTTTTAATTTATCAAATATTAGGGAAGAAAAATCAGACTATAATTTGATTTAGTTTTGATCCCTGTAACCCTAGCTGAGTCCTACATATATGTACTTACCCATGAGCTAATAAGACAGAACAAACATTTTTTCTCTGCCAAACTACATTGATCATATAGGAGGTCATATTTTATCTCTGTAGGAACTTGAGTTCCCCCTCTCCGTTTCCTCATATTACATGCCTTCATGTCATTACAGAGGGGAACAGGTGTATACCATGAGCGCCATCGAAGAGTTAATGCCCTCACTTGGCACCTCTGTTCCTTCCCCTTCAGTACTTGCTGTTGTTTTAAGCCAGTCAAATTCCATTCTTCAGAACATTGCGAAGACTAATGTGCCTAGTTCTACTTACCTCGACAAGGATCCTGATAATCCCTTTGATTTCATCGACAAGTCTTTTATAGTTTTTGAGACACATTTGATCTCTATTTCTGATGATGGAAAATTATGGAACTGGATCTTGACTGCTGAAGGGAAGCCGGACATCCAAAAGGATGATAAGAAGTCAGATTCGGTTGATGATGACAGCACAAAATCATTAATAGGTACTGGTGCTAATACCACAGTATCTTCTAAAAGCTATCTGTCAAGCTCAACCATCAACCAGGAAAATACTATTCTAAAGGTAACTATATATCCATATAGCACTTTCTCTGGTCCTTAGTATAAGAGTTAAATTTAGGAAAATTAAGGACATTAGTGAAGTTGGTTAATTGTAATAAATGCATGCTGACTTTCTTAAACTATCCTCTTTATTTGTGTGCATTGGAACTCTCTCTTGGTGGGAATCCGTTGCAATCAATTAGGATATGTTAGAGAAAACATTATAAATTTAAGAAGCAAAGTAAATTTGGGTCTTATATTTAGGATTAAATTCAATCTCTAACTAGCTTTTATATTAAGGACCAGAGGCAGTAGTTTGCACTTGGCATTTATGGGTTCACATTGCTTAATCAAATTGCATAGATATAAAGTACACACATATAATTCTATTTTCCTTCTTTTAGTAATCATATTACAGCATTGCTATAGATTCATGCGGGGAATTATTGAGCCCATCATGCTGGCCCATTATCTTTCTTGCATTTAGTTCCTTTTATCCCTCATAATATATAGGGATTCTTCCATTGTTTTTATTCTACGATCTACAATGACTGCATTTTATTTTCCTTGATTCTCTTCAATGCTTTTTGGATTTGACTAGCAAGTTGTTTTCTCTCCCCTTTTCCGTTTTTAAACATTGTATCTGGATACTTTGAATTGATATGGTAAAACCAGCTTTCTTGGGTTTGTTCAATTCATGATATCGATATGTTGGATTGGTCATTGGACTAGTGAAGACACATGCTTCCCGTTTGTTGGTTTAACTGTGGTTGAATTTGTAGTATGTTTGTTTTTGTTTAATTTTGTATATTAAAATTCTAAGATAATAAATTGCTAAAGTGATAACTACGGCCTATATCTTTCACTAAAAGAAGAAAACTATAATGTTAGCACTGAATATTTCTATGAAGTGTCAGCTAACTCAACATTATTATGATCTATTGATCTTAATATCTCATATATTTTTAATCTTCCATATGTTTAGCTTATCAAATGCGTATGAGAGCAAATTTAATCAACACTGTATAGTGCAGCAATCTCCATTCAGAATGGGGAACTTTGTTGCTTGTCCATTTGGTGGATATTCTTCACCTGACATCACCTAAAATTAGTATTAAGAATCTACTCTGTCATGCGTGAAAATTATATATACAAGATAATCATCTATATGATGTATAATTGGTTGGTTGGGTTTGTTACAAATTATTAGTCCAAAATATTACTGTGTAAGAAAAATATAAAGATAAAACATGAAAATTAATATTATGGAAGTCAATTAAAGTACTGAACTAAATGGATAAATGAGTTATTTAGGGTTTCCAATCATAGTGCTTTAGTGACATAGTGAACTTAATGGAGATTCATTATTGACAAAGTTAACTCACATTTCATAAATTTGCATTTTCTGAGCTCACCAGTTATGCGTGACTGAGCTCCCTCATTACATGTTATGTACAAATAAGAGATTGGGTATTGACAACTTGAATTTAGCAAAGCTTGATTCCTCAAGGAAGTAGAAGAAAGACTTCAAAATGTAAAGAGGGAAAACCTTATAATTGCTGTTAGTGATTGAAGGTTGAAGCTTGTCAAAGAGGAGCTCCAGTCCCACATGGGAGAGAAGTGCTAATATAAATTGCTGGCAATAACTAGACTAATGAATGTTTGCTTGGGTTGGATGTCAGTGGTGACTGAGGCCCATGGTGTGAGGTTTAGTGCGTTTCTTTCTTTTTTTTTTTTTAATTGTTTTGAATGGGAAATTTTTTTTTACCTATCCTGTTTTTATTGGTTTTATTGGTTGTTGATTGGTTTTGAGGGAAAATGAACATAATGATAGTTAATTTACTGATTTTGCTGTTTGGCCAGGTACTTTGTAGTCCTTGACAGTAGAGTTTTACGTACAATGAAACTCTATAGCTGGTCACTGGTGCATCCTGTTTACTATTATACTTCACCAATTGAGAAGTTCGAAACAAACAATTAAACCCATCTTTCCCTCTTTTAGAATGGTATTATGATTTCAAGCTTAAGGATTATAATAGATGAAATAGCATTTGGATGCTAATGTGGAGGATTCGCAAATTACAGGAGTTCAAATTAATGTAACATTTTATGAAAACATGAGTAAGGTTTTTATCATCAAATGGATAATGATCAATTAATTAATCTACTAAAAAAATAATGAATAGTTAGTGGCCCGGTTTGTTGAATTTAGTCACTTATCAAGCGCAATCAACCTTTGCTATTCAAGCAAGACATGATACAAATATGGATTATTCATTCATCTCTCTGTATGCCTAAATGCTTGTGCAGTCTTATGTGCTAGTAATATGGTGCTGTCTGCATTGTTGGTTCTTGTGGCCATATATATTATATACGTGTAAAGGTAAGTCTTGAATATCATCCCTTATCAATCTACTTTGCCTCCTTTTAGAAAATAATTGTCAAGATTGGCAATGGAAAATAGCGGGGTCCAAGGGATACATCTTTCTTTGAGGGTGACAGCAGGAACACATTATTCTCATTATTTGAGTGCCAAAATTCTGGATGCCTATGTGCATATACTGAGATCTTCCTGATAGTCTGAGTCTTTATTTTTTTGTGCTGTGAATAGCATGTGAGTTCTAGAATGCAACCAATATAATTTTCTTTGTCAGCTAAAAGCTTCTGAAATTATGCTATCAAATTTTGCAAAATTGACAAACATCTAATATTGGTTTTCCCTTTTCCATGTGTTGCAGATGAGCTTAGTTGGACAGCTTCAGCTGCTTTCTTCGACAGTGACTACATTGGCCGTACCGATTCCTTCTCTAATGTCAACTTTGGCCCGTTAGTTTATGTTCTAAAAAATCTATATATTGTATTATATTTAGTATGGCCTTTTGATAGAGGCTGCATTCACATCATGCTCCCTATATTATTTACTGATGTTATTTTTTGTGAAGGTGGAGGAAACCATCCTGCCGTAGCTGTTTCTTTGGTTGCTTTGGGAACTCAGAATGGGACTATTGATGTAATTGATGTTTCCGCTAATGCTGTTGCTTCAAGTTTATCTGTTCATAATGGTATCGTTAGGGGACTACGATGGTTAGGAAATTCTAAGCTGGTATCATTTTCTTATACCCAGGTAAATTCATAATTAATTTTGGCACCTCTTTTTGGGAATATTGATTTATATTTATATTATTTCTATACTTTTCTTCACCAAAATACTTTTTTTTTTGGGGGATAATCTTCATTTTCAAATTATTTGTGCTGTCTATCTGTATGATAAGGGTTATGAATTATTCATAGTACTCAATCCACCCTTCTTTAGTTTTTTAATTTTTTATTTATTTTTAGTCGTCTCTAATTTCAAAACTTTATGTTTGAAATGTTCTGCAATATATGGACCTAGGTTAATGAAAAATCTGGCGGTTATATTAACAAGTTAGTGGTGACCTGTGTTCGAAGTGGACTTAATAGAATTTTCCGAGTCCTCCAAAAGCCGGAGCGTGCACCAATAAGAGCTTTAAGAGCATCATCATCCGGAAGGTGAATCTCAAATCCACATCATGTTTTGTGAATAATTAATGAATCTAATTGAACAATAGTCTTTGAATATTCATGGATCACGGATTGAATATATGGGGACTCTTGTAACTTCAAATGCTGATGGAGGATTCCAAAATGAAAATAAAAATAATATTTGGAAGCTCTTATTGTCAAACGGGCCTTTCCTGAGTAAACTCAAGTTGTAATCTCCCTCTATAGGAGACTCAACTAGTTGCAGCTTGGCATCCTAACTTCAGCAAGTCATTAGTGCACCTTGGCCCCGCTTGCAGTGGTCACGGTGGTTAGCTAATGGTGTAGTTGTGGTGCTTCCTTATTTTCTGATTTTTTTGGCAAGGTTATTATAGTCCTTTGGAATTATAATTACATATGTTGTATAAAAATTATTCAAGTATTCCCATAGCTTGCCATACATGTTTTTAAAACCCATTCCTACTCCCAGTCCCTTAAAATTCATTCATTGTAGCAATGTAGCCTAGGACTTCAAAGTCCTGGATTTCAGTGTCGTTGCTAACACCTTAAGGCTGATTATTTCTTTGTGTGCCTCCTTGTGATGATGTTATCTGTGCACCCCTTGGGTGTAACAATTTATCCTTGAGGGATACTTTGATATATTGTCTGATTGACTTGACCATGGGGATGCCCTTGCAATTTATAGCTTTGATGAACCTCTCAGACTGCGATCTAGGGGATCATTTTCTGACACGCTATAATCCCTCTTCTTGTTACTATTATATATCAGAACACTATCTATATATTAGAACACTATCTACATGGGAGACATTGAAGGCAGCATAAGGATGCAATGGAGAAGATGTATCAACCATGCAAATTGCAAAATTTTACAATTATTGATTCAGCTTTTGAGTTTGTTTTGGTGACAAATTTACAGTATCTCTGTGTACTTCTGTTTTTATACAAAACTTGTAATTCATATTCACTTACAAATATAATATTTTTTGGACAAGTTAGATGCCGTTTAGTGACTTTATGAAAAACATTTTGAATTGAAATTTGTTCAGAAGCAGTGGGTTTATATGTATTTGTGAATTGATGAGACTGGGCTTAATATAACACAACTTTTTGCTTCTAATTTGATCATAAAGTGTACTTTATGTCTGCTTTTGGTTTCTAACAATTTAATATCACAATAATTTAGGTACCTGGTAATTTTGCTTCGTGATGCACCTGTGGAAGTTTGGGCAATGACTAAAAATCCCACTATGGTATGTTGGCTGGATGAACTTAAACCTCTCTAGCGTCTGTTTGTGGATGTTTTTGATTGAATTACGGGGGAATCTTGGCTGAAATTATTTATGCAGTAGTACTGCAGTTCTTGCTAACTCATGAAACTTGTTTTACAAAAAATGCATTAATTTCTCTGAATATGGAAGTCTTTGTCCATTTTCATTTGCAAGTGCATTAATCTGGAATTTTGCTGAAAGTAAATGAAACCTTGTGGTTATTCAATGCGGCTCTGTAAAGTAGCAACATATATTTTCTGTTATGGACACTAAGGCTGGAATGCTTGAGAGCAATTACTTTTATCTTAAAATTTAATAACTTTCCAATCTCACCCCTATTTAATACATATACTTTCCAAGAAAATCATAGTTAAATAATAAATTAGGAGTAAAATTGTGCATTCATATAATAAATTTTAATGAGGAGACCTATGTTAAGGACGAATAGGACCAGAGGAGTATCATTTGATCTCTAATTTTCCGTAGTCTTATATCAGGTCCTACATACGGGCATAGTGGCTGGCCTATTTGATACATGTCATCATTACTAGTGTAGGGATGATTGTGGGTAAGGTATTGATGATATTATAGTCCCGATCCTTGTATTCATATTTTAGGTGTGTTTTGCTAATGGGTTGGCAGAAGTCTTAAATCTGGGGAAAACAATTTTGTTTTCTTTTGTTATTATTATTTTTTGGGTTAATATAATTTTTGGTCCCTCAAGTTTCAAACTATAAGTTTTGGTTTCTCAAGTTTCTTTTTATTTAAAACATTAGTCCCTATAATTCAATAAATTCCTGGACCATTTTGCCCCTAGAGGATCAAAACCTATAGTTTGAAACTTGAGGAACCAAAACCAAACGAGGGTAAATTTGAGGGACCAAATATTATATTAACCCTTATTATAATTTTTTGTTTTAAAGCTGAGACTCATTTTCATAGGGCTGGTTTATAAAATCCCAAAAAGGAATCAACATATCCAAACAACTAGTGGTATAATTCAAAACCAATGTATCAGTATGTTGGACATATATTTTTTATGCTTTTATTTAATATGTCTAATTGGCATTGTCACATGACATGACTATATGTTTAATTATAAATAAATATATGTAAATTAAGTGTTCGGGGCAGGCTGCAGGCTGCTAAGTATCTAATTGACGATCAAAACAAGTTGGAACATTTAATATTAACTTGAAGTGACCCTTGCAAATGTAAGGAAATCTTGTTTTATGAACAGTTTTTAAAAATAGGTACTAAATTAAAATTTATTAATATAATAGTAAATGCTGTTTTAGTTTTGGGGAAAAAAAAAATTTAGTACATAGCCTTGTATACTTTTGGTACATGCTTTCAATCAATTGGGACGTGTAATTGTTTAGTCCATGATTTACCATTCGACCAACCTTTATTATTAGTACCCTTTTTCTTAAAAAAATCCCTTTGGAGTTTTCTTCTTTCCATGTGTGTGTGTGTGTGTGTGATATAAACGATTCAACTTTTGAAGTAGAGGTGGGAGATCTGGATCAATGACAGAAATATTTTGAGAGAAAACTACATGTAGCTCTATGATAGGTTAAATTTTAAAAAATCAACAAGAAAACCTATAATTTGGAAAACAAGATTGCTATATAGATGCATGGGCAGTAATGCTGCAGTTATCATGGATTCAAATTCACTATCATATATTGATGATTCATATATTAGGAATTGGGAATTAAATGATATAAGGATCATTTCATTTTTTTGGGTAAAATATTTGATGGAGCTGGATGTTCTTTCGTATTAAGATTGCCAAGCAACTAGGATAAACAGTACAGCAAGGGAATACCGTGGAAAATGACTGGTACTCCTAGTTATAGTAATGGAAATAAACATGGAACTAGCAACAACGGAATGAAACAGTGAAAACAACTAGAGACAAGGGCCTCCCTGACGTTAGAGAGGTCAGAGGCTCTCCCAAAGCATCCTCCAGTTCTTCTTACTCCCCCCCCCCAGAGCATGCAACCCTAGAAAACTAACTCTGGGTGGGCCTAGTGGGCTGTTGCAGTTCTCTTGGACCCACTGCTTGTCTACTGACGCCATCTCCCGGTTTGGGCTGCCTTTTCTTGTAAACTTGATGAGTCACCGGGTTGGGTCCATCATTTGCCGCTCCCAGAAGTTTCACCTTGTCCTCAAGGGGAAAGTATGGAAATTGGTTCTGTATGGTCTGCATGTCTTCCCAAGTGTTGTCATGGCTAGGTAGATTACACCATTTAATCAGGACTTGCTGGGTGCCATCAGTCATCTTGCGCACCTTGAGGACATCTTGGGGCTGTACTTGCAATTCATATTCTTCAGATAAAGAATCAGGTAATGGTTGAGTGTTTTCCATAGGAAGGCTTGATTTCTTCAGTTGGGATATATGGAAAACAGGATGAATCCATGTTGTTTCAGGCAACCTCAGCTTGTAGGCGACCTTCCCAATTCTCTGAGTTATCTCATAAGGCCCATAGTATCTTGGGGCTAATTTTTCATGTTGTCTCCTAGCCAAATTCTTTAATTTGTAAGGCCGAATCTTTAGATATACCCAATCTCCCACTGCGAATTCCAGATCTCTTCTCTTCTTGTTCGCTTGCTCCTGCATTTTCACTTGAGCTTGCTCGAGGTGCGTTTTAAGAACATGCAGCATCTCATTCCTTTCTTTAATCTGCTCATTGACTTCCTCTACCTTTGAGAGTTCATCTTGCCACTTGAAAATGGTAGGGGGACCCTGGCCATACAAGGCCTTGAATGGAGTGGTGTCTATGGAACGATTGTAAGAAGTATTAAACCAGAATTCAGCCCAGGGTAACATTCGAATCCATCGTTTTGGGCACTCTCCAGCAAAACAGCAAAGGTAAGTTTTCAGGCTGTGATTTACCTCGGTCTGGCCATCCGTTTGTGGATGATACCCAGAGCTGTATTTCAAGGTAGTACCAGACAGAGTGAACAACTCCTTCCAGAAGTGATTGATGAAGACCCTATCCCGGTCAGAAACTATGGATTTGTGGAACCCATGGAGCCTTACTATCTCTTTAATAAATACATCTGCCACATCTTCAGCTGTGAAAGGGTGGTGTAGGGGTACAAAATGAGCATACTTTGTAAGGCGGTCAACCACTACCATGACTGTATCAAATCTGTGAGCCTTGGGTAACCCAACAATAAAGTCCATACTAATGTCCTCCCATACTTGAGAAGGGATGGGAAGAGGCTGCAGCAATCCTGCTGGACTTAATGCTTCGTACTTGTTGCGTTGGCACACTTCACACTTGGCCACTTGTTCTTGCACATCCTTCTTCATTCCTTCCCAGTACACCACCTTAGAAAGCCGCTTGAAGGTACGTAAATACCCCGAATGTCCTCCTATGGGGGAGTTGTGGAACTCTTTTATCAGAGCAGTGGTCTTGGCAGACTGTTTCGGTAAGACTAGCCTGTTCTGATATACTAGGCACCCGTGCTTCAACGAATACCCTGCTGGAACTGGTTTCCTGGTTAGCAATCCTTGCAGGAGGATGTCACACAGCTTGTCATCTTTTGTCACTTCGGTTTCAAACTCTTCCATATTAGCATATTGCCACATTGAAAAAGCATTTATGCATTTCTCATTGCTGTCTCTTCTTGACAGAGCGTCCGCTGCCCTATTTTCCTTACCTAGCTTGTATTGTATTTCGAACTTGTACCTGATGAGCTTTGAAACCCATCCCTTTTGATTAGGTGCAATGATTTGTTGCTCCAGGAGATGCTTTAGGGCCTTCTAATAAGTTTTAATAATAAACGGTTGGGCGGCCAAGTAGTGCTGCCACTTTTTCACAGCTAGAACAATTGCGATCATTTCTTTCTCATAGACCGACCCCCTCCTGTTTCTTTCTGAAAGTTGCTGGCTGAAATAAGCTATAGGTCTCCCACACTGCATTAACACTGCTCCTACTCCAGTTCCGCAGGCGTCAGCCTCTATCTCAAAGGGTAGTGAAAAATCCGGCATAGCTAGTACAGGGGCCTTGACCATTGCCTCCTTTAGTTGTTCAAATGCTACTCGCACTTTTTCAGTCCATTGGTAAGTGTTCTTTTTTAACAACTCTGTCAGTGGTGCTACAATCCTTCTATAGTCTTTAATAAACTTTCGGTAATAACCAGTAAGGCCCAAGAAACCCCTCAAGCTCCTAATGTCCTTGGGCACCAGCCACTTAATCATGGCTTCGACCTTAGAGGAGTCAGCTTGCACCCCTTGAGTTGATATGATGTGGCCAAGATACTCTAACTCGCACTGCCCAAAACTACACTTCTTGGGATTGATGACTAACTCATGCTGCTGCAATATTCTTAGAACCTCTCCTAAATGCTCCAGGTGCGATTTCTCATCCTTACTATACACAAGGATGTCGTCAAAGAAGACCAGTATGAATTTCCTTAGGTGTTCCCTGAAAATGTCATTCATTAAAGACTGAAAAGTAGAGGGTGCATTTGTAAATCCAAAAGGCATGACTAAGAACTCATAATGACCATTGTGTGTTCTAAAAGCAGTTTTATGCTCGTCTCCTTGCTTAATTTTGATCTGGTGATACCCAGATTTAAGATCCAACTTAGAGAAAATGGTAGCTCCTCCTAATTCATCAAGTAATTCATCTATAGCGGGTATGGGGTACTTATCTGGAATGGTGACCTTGTTGAGTGCTCTGTAGTCTACACAGAATCTCCAGCTCCCGTGTTTTTTCTTAACCAGCAGAACTGGACTGGAATAGGGGTTGTTGCTGGGTCGAATGATTCCAGCCTCAATTATTTCCTTGACCAGTTTTTCGATCTCCGTCTTATGCCCATAGGCATATCGATAAGGGCGGACGTTGGGCGGCTGTGCTCCTCCTTTTATTCTGATGGCATGGTCTCGTCCCCTACGTAGAGGTAGTGACTTTCGGGGTTCGCACATAGATTGAAACTCACGTAGCAAGCCCTGAACCTGGTGA